CATTTTAAGGACCACCCTAATATATATTATATATATATATATATATATATATACTACTCATAAACCCTATACTACATGGACTGCTAGTCCTCATATGTTTCCCATTGTATAAAGTGTACAAAGATAGAAGGGACTGTGACGTCACTTGCTGAACGAGCGTTGCCGAGAATCGTCGGCCTCTCCCGATTGATTAAATGTCATATGTTATATGTTTTATTTTAATAATATAATGGCAATTGTAATGACTGATAATTTTGTAGGCAATGATATTAATAACAGCTAAAAATCTTTATCATAATAGTTAATATTATTCAAAAAATATCTGTTATAGTTTTATTTCAATAATACAATAACAATTTTGTGGACTCATAATTTTGTAAGAAATGATATCAATAATTGGCATTATATTATTGAAATAAAACTGTCACAAATAATATTTGAATTAAATTGACTATTATGATAAATATTATTATTATCATTTCTTGCAAAATTATCAGTCATCACAATTTACATTATATTATTAAAATAAAATGTTAAAATGGCATGTGTAATTAATCAATCGGGAGAGTTCCACGATTGTCGGCAACGCTCGTTCACACAGTGACGTCACAGCCCCTTCTATCTGTATGCACTTATTTTTTCTGTCCATGTAGTATAAGGTCTATGAAATAATAACAGAAACATTTATATTTAAATATTTATGATAAATATTAAAAACCAAGATTGTAATAATAACAGAAAGTCAAATATAACTATTTACTACTAATGTTGACTATTTGACTATAGGTATTTTGAGTTTCATTCGAGTATCTATAATCAAGGGGCTTGTTCGTGGCTCAAATGGCAGTAGCTTTAGACTGGCAACCACTGGATTCCACGTTTTATGCCCGCCTCAGGCAACCTGATATCAAGCAGTAGCAACAGAAGTATGATTTCAAATGGAAATAGACTTACATATTTAATCTAATATAATAATAAATATAATAATAATCTAAAAAAACAAAAATTAGCAACCACTAGGTTTCCTTCTAGGATATAAAGTATTACAGTGGGTTATAAAGAATCACATTACAGAAGTTCTTAGAACACATAAGAATAGCTTTGTTTATAAATAAAAAATAAAACAATATAAATAAAAAAAAAAATTAAAACTGCATTATATGAGACTATCGCATATTTAGCAGCGACCAAACAAGTGATACCGCCTAGATCTAGGAAACCGCCTAGATCTAGGAAACTTTTTCAACATATCATGTTTTTTCAAATAGTGGTTTTCAAGAGGTTCTCTATAATACGTTTTATATGAACATAAATCGCAAGCCCATTGTGGATTTTTTCCACATTCTACTCTTATGTGCCTTTGAAGATCGCGGAAATATGCGTACGATTTCGGACAATTTGCACATACAAATTCCTTATATCTCCAAGATGAGTCTGGAATAACGACATCAAAAGTATCTGAAAAAGAAATAATATTGTATTAGATAAAAAAATAAAATTAAAATACTCATTGCGCAGCGATAAAAAATTAACAAAAAAATATAATAATTATGAAATTGCTATATATGTAATATTCTACTGATTGTTCATATATATTCTATTTACTACTTAAAACTAGTGATTGAATATATCAACTTTTTTTTTTTAATTAATATGACGATTGAACAATTTAACTTATAACTATCTTATACTTAGAATTAAATATAAAGTTTAAACAAGATACGATAGAAAGCACATGCATTTAACTAAACTTTTCCACAAATATAAAAGGGCATGTATATCAAACAAGTCATACGATTAAACATTTATTGACATAAATATGCAGCTAATACATATATTTTATAAACAAAAATATTCAATTAAATTTATTTTGATTCCATCTTAAGGAATAATTAGATACTAAAATAATGTAATCGCTATAAGTAGCACTCGATTCTATAAAATGAGTGCGAGCAAAAACTTGAAACAAACTTATATATATATGATGAATATAAGGAAACCTATATTTTTCTTACTCATAAAATTTTGTACTATTCTAGCCCTTAACACTATGTTTTCGGATCCAGTCCGACATTTAAAATGACCAGAACCAGACACATATGACCAGTCAACAAATCTGGAAAAATTAGACGTAAAAGTGTTTTTGAAATATTAAAAAAGTAGAAATGTAAAAAGGGCCCAACGGTCTGGAGTGCAAAGGGCTAGAGCAACAAATACTTATTAAGGAATTTGATTCCAAATTATTCTAACGTAAGATAAAATCCATGGCATTTGAAATTTATATATTCTAGTATTAACTTAATACTATGCTTACATACAAAAAAAGCTCATAACTCTATTTCATAAAACATAAAAAAATCTCGTAAAACTTACTCTATTACATTGCAGGGTTCTAACCAGTAAAAACATCCATTATTAGCTAGATACTATAACTACGTGAGATAATTTGATATTACTTTATATCTAATGAAAATTGGATGAAAAGTATTATATTAATTAATTATGAAATTCATGGCTTATAAAACTATTTATATAGGAGACTTGTGATAATGTCTCCTCACGTTTATTTCAAAATGTTATAAAAAACATTTTAATTTAATAAATGTGCAAAAGGTTGTTTTATTATTGTGTGAAATCGCCAGCGCTCAACCAACCGGGTCGTTTTCTTACCCTACGATCGCGTTTAGCTTCGTCGTTTTGTTTACTAGATTTTGGATTATTCCTTTTTGGAGACAAAACTTGAGTCTCCACACTTGATACAACTGTTGAATCTCCAGTTAAATGAATAACTTTGGCAGTCTTGGTCTTAACTTTCTTCGTGTCTGGATCTGATTTTATTTCCGGTTTTGATGGTCCTGATATGTGTAATGTGCATTCCCTGAATGTGGTACTTCCTAAAATAACTTCTTTTATAGACCTTTCATCTTCGGCGACACGAATTACTGGTCTACTTCTTTTCGGTACTCCAACAACTGCAGTGTCCTTTTTCGGTGAATCATTTGAGCTACTTGGTCCTGCTTCCTTTCCATTTTCAGAAGATTTTTTATCCCCTGCACGCTGTAATAGAGTCTGCAAATTGTCGATTTGTTTCTGATTTTTCTTAGCATCCAAAATTGTCTGCTTTTCGTAGTGTGTCTGCAAGTGCGTTGGAAGTTTTTCGCGAGTTGTCATGACACCACAATCTGCATGTGGGCATTTAGCGAGCCATTGCAAGTTGCGATTGGCTTTGGACAAATCCAGATCGGCAACTAAATCAACTTCTTCTGCGCCCAAAGCCACCGATTTTGGTCTCACCGTAATAACTGCAAAGAAGAAGAAGAAATATGTTAGTATAAAAATCACTATAGTTTTCAAAATTTTAAAAATTCCTGGGTGTGCATGCAATACAAGATGAGAATTATAGAGAAATTAAACGCATTTTCAAATTTTCATGATATCAATACAAAAGTGCATTTAAGGTTTGGGTTTTAATTTAAACCACGAACTTAAAATTAAATGTTTTATTTCTTGTAAAATACATATTTAGTGTTTTCACTATCCTAGTGGTCAAATGTATAAATATTAGGCAACGTTTTTTGATGCCATAACAGATCGCTGTGTCTCCTTCCAATGTGTTTTTTTACATCATTTATATAAAATGTGACATATTCGCAATATGGGCAATGGGCTTGTGGTAGTTTTCCGCATTCGTATCGTTCGTGTCTTCGAAGACTAATCCGTCTTGCAAAAGACTTGGAGCAGACGTTGCAAAGCCATCGATCTGAAACATAAAAAATCCAACACTTGCTGAAAACACTTTGTAATTATAACAGAAATTATAGTTAGACAACCATTCAATTAGCAAAAATAGAAATTACCCTGAAATACATTAGAAAAAAATAATAAAAACATTAAGAAAGCATATTCTCATGATGTTTGCACAGTACCATATAAGATAAGGTATTAAAATCACAACGACGTTTGTGTTATTTTAATTTTTTTTTATTTGCATAGTTTTATTTTAAATCAAAATAATATACATTTTTTAAGACAATGTGCTGTAATGTTAGTGCATTTAAGAGATTATCTCCTATAAGATATCTCTCTTTTTTTATATTTTGACATTTTATTTAAGATCGTAAGGCCATTTTTTCTTCAATCTTCGTGTGGGATATTCCTCGCTTAATTCTTTTAAATATATGTTTGGGTGACCTGGTAGTTTTTCGTGGTATTTTTTGCTCCTTTCTTTTATCATTTCATTAATAGTTTTTATTTTTAGGTCTTTATGTAGGGTGTCATTTGTAACATATCAGGGTACGTTCACAATGCATCAAAATTTTCGATTGCGCTACTTGTATTTTTTTATATTTGAATTGCTTGTGCACGCCCATAGCTCAATGCCGTATGTCCAGATTGGGATAATTATTGTTTTATATTTTAAAAAATTAAAAAATATTACACTTAAAATTTTATTTCTATTCTATTTATATTATAATTACAATAATAAAAGTTATTGTTGGGTGTGATACAATTCAAAACATGGGACTACACATAAGCCAACATTGCATCGTCTACAATAATATCTACTAGTACGTCTTCTGCCACTCTTTGAACACATAGAACATCTTCTCATTGGATTGTGCCTTTTTGTTTTTTCACTGCAGTACACTGCTGGAAAATGTCCTTCCTGGAAACGTAGGTTGTCGCCTATAGTCGACAATCGACGTCGAGCGTCCAAATCAACGCCCATACCGAAGTGGTCAAATGGTTGATGGTGAAGTATTGCTGTAAAGAAATCAAACAAAAATTAGAATAATATGGAATTATATATTTTCAATGATTATTTAAAATCTAACTATTGTCATACACTGTACTATGTAGTATATCCGTGAAGATAAAAATAATTTAATTCGAATTTGAATTTACATAAAGTTTACATCTCTGCAGTTTCTGGCGCTGTCCTCTTCATTTATCCTAGATCGCTCTAACCTGAGATCTAAGCGTACTGGCTAGGTAGGACGGTGGAAGACCGGTGGTTCAAACTAGTTAATGTGCAAATTTTGTTCGCAACATTTTACAATTTAAATAAACAGACATTTTGCTATTTGGAAAAATAAAGAATTAAAAAATTAAAACTAAACTTTTAGTTTTATTATCTTTATATTACAATTACAATAATAAATGTTACTGTTGGGTGTGATACAATTCAAAACATGGCACCACACATAACCCAACATTGCATTGTTTACAATAATATCTACTAGTACGTCTTTTGCCTTTCTTTGAACACATAGCACATCTTCTCATTGGGTTTTGGCTTTTTGATTTATCACTAATGTATACTGCTGGAAAATGTTTTTCCTGGAAACGCAAGGGATCCTGGATGTCGACTATAGTCGACTTTTGGTCATGTTCATCTATATCAATGCCCGTACCGAACTGCTGATATGATGGCTCTCGATAAAGTATCACTGTAAAAAAATAAAATATAAATATAAATATTTTCAATCTGTATCTGAAATTTAATTATGTTAATATACTGAACCAGTATATCTATAAAGTGTGTTAGTGTCATGTCACAATATATCTTATAATTACAATAAATAGACCTCATGTAACTTTAAGTATAAATAAATTATATTAATGTGTACTATACATTTAACATCACAGATAAGTAATTAATGCAGCCTTAAATTAAGACAATAATAATTCTAAACATATGAAGACTTCAAAAATAAAATTGTTTTGAAATACATTATACAAAAATGTACTCGTATGCTCCAGTACTTATTTAAGAAACAAAATTATGTTTTCGTTTTTGATTCAAGGTATTAATTTTCTTTATATATGTACAAAATTAAAAAATATTAAATTAACTTAATTCAAGTTTGAGTAAAACTAGTTTTTAAACTTACAGTTAATAACTTTTATATTCAATAATCTAATGTTAAGCTATAAATAAGATCACAGTTTAAAATCAAGAAAATTATTTCATACTATACATATTCTGTTTATATGTTTTCGTTTGTATAAGTTTGTATAAAAATAAGAAAACTAAATTAAACATAAGTTAAGTACAATTTAGACTTTAAGTCTGTCTTCTCAAAAAAATATTACTAACTATTACTTATACTAATTTTTTACAATTACTGACAATTTTAGTTTTAGCTAGGATTTATGTTTGTGATAACAACTTTTATTATTAATAATGTGTTTTATGCTTGTTTTTGGAAATTGTGTATCGCAGCTGAAGACAAAATAGCATTTTTAATGATGCTGATTATTTGACAAATGTATTCTCAATTTATATATTACAATTTACACACATATAGATATATATATATAGATTAGGGTGGTCCTTAATATGGACATTTTCGAATTTCCTTGCTCTCAAGGGCTCAAATGTTTCCAATTTGATAAAAAACTTTTCTTTGAAAGTTTTAGCTCTTAATATTGTCTTTTAGATAGAGCGCAATTCAGTTTTGTATGGAAATAGCAAAATTTCAAAAATTTTGCAGAGCGTCGAATTTTCGATAAAAAATGACACAAATTTTCACTTTCAATTCATTTGTCGCTAAGTTATACTTAAAAAAAAATTTTCCATACTATTTCCATACGAAGTTTGTATGAATTGCGCACTATCTAAAAGTTAATATTAAGAGCTAAAACTTTATAGAAACGATTTTGTTTTTTATTACTTTTTGGATTCTTTGTTCGAAACTGCAGATTTGTATACTATATACAGTGATACTCTGCATAACGTACGCCTCGCACAATGGACGATGCGCATAACGAACTTTTTTTCGGTTTCGAAAGTTTCACACAACGAACTTTGCTTCACACAACATACTAACTCGTTGTCATTTGTAACCGAAAAACATATGTTGCTCAAATTAATTCAAAGAGTGGATCTTGGTGGAAAAAAAAACTATCGACAGTTTCTTTAAAAATTCAGAAGCTATAAGGGCACAAAAGGAAGCAGTGCGACTCTGATAATAACTTACTTTGTGAATCAATAATATTTTTTTAATAATGCCTTAATTATATGTAAAAAATATCTTATTGTCAATGACCATATTTCAAACTACAGACCGAATTAATTTTATTTTCATGCATTTTCCTGGAAAAACACGTTTCGCATAGCGAACTTTTCGCGCAACGAACTTTTTCTCGGAACGAATTAACTATGGTATTACTGTATATAATATAATATATTATATTATATACACATACATGCTCACACACACACACATATATATATATATATATATATGTATGTGTGTAAGTGTGTGTGTATGTATGTGTGTGTATATGTATATACAGACATATATATCTTATGATGGAAAGAATTGAATAATTTATTCTCAAATCCCCAAAGACAAATTATAAATTATATTCTTCTACAATTATGTGTTAGCAAAACCAAACCCTGCATCAACAATTTGCTTATGAATAACTCGCAGATGATTCCTCAGCGTGCTCTTGTGGTACGTGACGTACGAGCAGTGCGGGCAGGCGGCTTGAGGCACCTTTCCGCATTCGACCCGCTTGTGCCTCGACAAGTTCTCCTTCCGAGTGTACGCTTTCGGACAATTCGAGCAGCGGAATTCGTGCCTCTGCAGGTACATCGACGGCATACCTGTAAAATACACAAACGGTTTTAGAGAGATAATTATGGATCTTTGTGGAGGAAAGAATTCAGATGTAAACGAATTGAGAAACTTACAATCGGCGGCCTTGTAGTGGTGAAACATTTTGTTTTTTTTGTGTTCTAAATTTTGAAAATGAACTAGTGGTGCGTGGCATCGTGCCTTAAGACAAATTGTTGGAACTTTCCAAAAGGAAAATTGAAATTTGTAAAAAGCTTTAAAGTTTTTGATAATTTTGAAAATATGAGATTTTTTGAGATATTTGAATTATTGAAAAAATTGACTTCTTTGAAAAATTTGATTTATTTTTATATTTTGAAATTTTTTGAGTATTTTGAATTTTTTCCTGAATCACATATAGTAATCACAAAAAATAGAAAAACTAGTGTAATGCATTAAGGCAAATTGCAGTAACTTCCCGTACCATAATTAAAAATCTTGGTACGGAACCCAAAAAAAATTACACAAAATGTGTACACAATATTAAAATCTCTATAAAATATCTGGTAATTTGATGAACATATGCCCAATAAACATTTTTGACCGCCAAATTTTTTTGACATATTTTTATTGAGAGTCCATAACCGCTGGACCTGCCTTCTCAAAAATTTAATCAGTTCTTTATCTTGTCAATACAAGTAAAATGTTTTTAGAATGATTAAAATCGGACTCTC